CGTCTCTCGGCTTTATACCTTTTACTTCGACTCTGTTTTTCATTTCGAATCTGTCGGTTGAGTCGTAATCGATAATCAACGAATACAGCAGAGGTGAGGACAAATAATATTTGTCACCTCTACTGTCGCGCAAATATACAAGTTTATTATGAAAGATTTGCCGTTAATACAGAGACACGACAAAGATACGACAAACAAGACATATAATATTTTCTCCACAAGAATACAAAATATAATTTTGTTCCTACATTATTAAATACAATTTGAAGTATATTACTTTAGTTACATATGTATTTTTTGGCAAGTATTATGTATAACTGTGTTTATCGCTTACAGAAATATATTATTGAGGCATCAGTGATTAATGATTGTCGCTAAGTAATTTAATCATTAAATCGCAGTGATTTTTAATACTTTACTTACTACTGTGTCAATAATTTTCAGTAGTTTAGTAATTGTAGTATGTGTGTTTGATAATATCTGAATGATTCTTCAGTAATTTATTACACGACTCAATTACTGGTCCAGTAAATGAGTCATGGAATAAATTACTAAAGAATCATTGAGAGATTATGTAATGAATTACTTGCTAAGTAAAAGAGCTATGTGATTCATTACTCAGACTTAATAATAAATCACTGTGTGTGTGTGTGTATGTGTGAATCAGTAATATTGATACACAATAAATTAAGTTCTAAAGCTCTATACTAAAAATCATTGACTCAATGATTTAACTATGACAAAACTTACTGGCACATTTATAATAATAATAGAAATATTTTTATCTATTGTTGCAAATATGTTGCACTGCAATATATTTTAAGGAAATAATAATTTAAATAGATAAAATAAAATGTGTAAGATACGTTGAAAATAAGTAAATAAAAATAATTACGATTTAATAAAGAACAAGTGGTCTCGCTGATTGAGTAAGGGGGCTGCGAATATAGAGATGTCGAATTGAAATCATCTTTAAAATTTGTTTAGGTCTGGTTGGTTTCCATGGAGTTCAACGGTCGATCGGCAAGATAAATTGCCTCCAAAACTTAATTTAAGTAAAATCTCGAATTAATTTTTCTTCCAAAACCCGATGTGCCCGTGATAGTTGTTTTCTTTTAGTAAAACTTTTGTTTTGGATTCTAGATAGAATCTATTTTTTGATTTTTAATCGCAAAGCGTTACATTACCAATTGAAATCGATATAAAATTTTCAAAGAAAATCCACTATATTTTGGAAAAATTTACTGATTTTCGAATAAATCTGAAACAAATTTTTATGCAAACGCTAACAGTAATTTATTCAGTAATTTACTATCAGAAATAAGTCTTCAGTAATTATCTAATAATTCTCACCACGGGAGACTTCGACGTTGTACCAATTGATTTGGACGAAATTTATAGGATTGATAGATGACTTTGTGGAATATTGCAGGGTAAAGTAATAATATGCACTACTCAAGCATTTGCGAGAAAATTGAATTTATAAATTTTGAGTTACCTTATAAAGATATTAAATAGATCGCTTAATAGAAGATCGCGTAGCGTAGCGGTAGCGTACTTGGTTAGTAATGTCGACGCTGCTGGTTTGAATCTTGATATACTTTTTTTTCTCTTCAAAATTCTACAATATAATTTAAATGTAAGTATTTTGTTTATTCTAAACGTAACGTTTTTTTTATTTATTGCATGTTATAATAGTGCATTTTTAGCATAAAAATTCTGTGACTTATAAAATACGGTAAAAATAAATAGATTAGTACTAATTACTATTTGTGTTCATAAAAAGCGGATAATTAGTTGTATGCAACATGTAAAACTATACGCAACATGTTTTATTTATTGGAACTAGATGAGACAATACATAATGCAGGATGATATTTGTCATAAAAACAATTGAAAGAATAATTTTCACGACAGTATGCACATCGTATGAACGCTGCAGTTTTACATTCACATGGTTTTTTCTTTAAAATATCTATTCAAAAACATACTTCGTTGACATTTATAAATATCTTTTTCTCGTTTGTTAATTTAAAAGCATTCCTTACAAAAAGGAAATACTGGCAGTAGGTAATATATTGCGGCAGTGGTACAAAAAAATTACTGGCATTCTGTGTAATTGCAAGTAATATTCTCAGTGATTCCTGTAATACTTAATAATATTCTTATGTAATTGTCAATAATATTTATATTATTGACTTTATTTATATGTAATCGGCAGTAGTAAGTATTCGTAAGGGTAGAATTGTATATTTACAGTTACAATAAATGTCAAATAATCATCTTGCATCAATCAGTTTGGAAGGTTTACTAACCAGATTTTATTAAAAATCTTTTTACTACTACAAATTTTTCACCAATTCTCGCTGTCAACACTTTTCTTGCATCTCG